GCCGATACTTTCGGTATTTGCATTCCAATCTACGTGTATATGCTTATCCTTTTTACTTACAAGAGTTAAAATTAAATAAAATTGTTTTAACACTAATGGATTGGGCTTTTAACTTTTAATGTGGCTAAATATTTGGTTCTTTATCATACTTGCGTTAAATGTATAAGCATTAGAAAGTAGCGCGGATGTCGTGTCTAATCATTACAACTGATGAATTTTTGTACTTTTAACAATCAATTTTGTTAATGAAGAAAGAGAATAATATTGGCACTTGTAAATCGATCAATTGGTTTCGATCTCAGATCTTTTTCCGCAAATTAATAGTAATTAATAATATTCAAGAGAAATTGGAATAACTGTTCACCTAAAATCTAAATTGTAAATAATTTACTCCGAATTGTTCAACTTTTTCATAATTGTATCACATAACACAAATAACATTATTGTTAAACTGATGAAAATTATTGAATAAATGTAAGAAAAGTTTCATCTGCGGAAGAAAGAAAACGTTTTCGGATAAAATTAACAACTATGAGTATATAATCAGGTAAGAAATAATTATAAAATAAAGCTTTGAGAATTGAAATAAACAACCGATTGTACATTTTTTTTTTTTATTAGTAAATCTAGAATCGATTTTTTTATCTACAAGATCTATTAAATTATAATGGAGATATATATTAAACATTTTTAATGTCTATGTGAAGTGAAGAAAAACTATTTGAATAAATGTTTTTATATCTACTCGCATATCTTTTTCTATAAAATCAATTTGAAAAAATTTTAATATCAGATAGCTCTTTCTCTCTCTCTCTTTCTCTCTCTCTCTCTGTAAAATATATATTTAGATTTATATAAAAAAAATATATTTTCTCTAAAAAAATTAATTTTGTGGAAATTTATAAATGAAAGGAAATGCATAATTTTTGTCATGTTTCTATATATTTATGAGCCTAATGAGGTGAGCCGTGTTTTGCAATTACTTACGGATTGAAAGAGGATAATTCGAGGATCAATCTCCAGAGTATTGCGACACTTATTTGTTTCTTATATAAAAGTTAATAATAAATCGCAGCCGGGATGTCGTGACGTTCGTAAAAATTTCATGCGTTGCACTGTGCAGCCCAGCTTGACGAGTAAAGAAGTATCTTCCACCGTTTCTGGCGTTCAGCATTTCTATCTGCTCGAAGCAGAGCGATTCCTCTCTTCCTCGAGTTAGCAATAGTTAGCAAGTTCCCCACCATAGAGATATCGTACACATATACAACATACTGCGTACATAAGAAGAATGTCCAGGTACACATGTGACATCCAACACGTGCGTGAATTTAAGTAGAGAATGCACACTGCTCGTCTCATTGTTTTCATAACGAAACTTAGTCAACGTGACCTGATTGCAATGGCGATTGCTCGATTTCGATCATTGATCACGCGCGAAAGTAGCGAGTTGTGATATTTTGAAATAAGCGTAATTTGAAAAAAAATTATTCTTATTTTATTACATAAACCTTTAATTTTATTAAAACTGATTTTTTATTTTTCTAACCATTCAAATCGAAATCTGATGAAATAAAACTAAAGCCTTTACTTAGCGCATGTATTATTGGAGCCATTGTTGATTTAGAATTACAAAAATACATTTCACAAGCAAAATTGCGTGCAAAATTGACATCCTTGTGTTTAAAAATTAATTTTGATATCGACAAGTCAATACAATTAATCTATGAACTTTCTCTTAGTCTTACTTTTAGATACTTTTAGATAGTTTCCCTATAATTTTCAGTATATAATCTAATTATGCATAGAGACCGATCTTATGTAACATAATTTTACGTAACGGATGTTTTTAGTATGATAAAATAGATATATCGCAGATGTCGAATCTGAATGTTTTGGTTGAAAACGAGTAAATTAAAGAAGTTGACTATAAATATCTTCTAATTACTATAACTTCTACAAAAATGACTCAAAAATGGTCAAATAGGCCAGAATCATAGTCACTAATATCCACTACTATTTATGTACGCCGTGTTTTTAAGCTGTCCGACTTTGGTAGCATAACTTGTGATTAAGGTAATCAATGCACCGTGCATTCGATTGCGAAAATTGCTAAATTATATAAATACGAGTTCCCGAAAGAATATTTTAAAAGCCGTATATTAACCTACTCGAGCAATCGTAAAATTACAACATAAAATTATAACGATGAGTGCATATTAACAATTGATTGTGCAACGTTTGTCAAGACGCATAAAACGCGAGTGTAATTTACTTGATATATTCTCAATGATATTTCCATTATATATATATATATATATATATATATATA